GAATTTCATTTCATTCGTTGCTTTTAGCATTATATATGTGGTGCTTTTATCGTTATACGAGGTGCTCTTTACATTATACGCGGTGCTACACTTCGAGTTCGAGCATTATACGCGACGATTTTGACATATATCAAGATATATGGGCTACACGCAACATTGTACGAGGTGCTTTTAACATTATACGTGGTGCTTGAGACATTTATTTAATAATGTACGCGGTGTTTGAGACATACGAGGTGCTTTTAGCATTATACGCGGTGCTTGAGACATTATACGCGGTCGGTATAACGTTATACGCAGTACTCAGTGCAGAAGGCAATATTTTTGCCTAGCACAGCACTTCTCTGAGCTCACACAGATCTTCTCTGGGCCAGATGGCATTTTTTGTATTTTACGAAGCGAAAATACTCCTGTTAGAGGTGTATGGAAACTTTGTTTAGTGGCATCCTTCCACCCTCGAAATCGCAGGAAATGCCATTTCCGCGGTTCTAGATTTCAAATTTTCTCGGGGGGGCATGCCCCCGAACCCCTCTAGGAAGGTCGCACCTTCGGTGCGAGGGGTCCGCCTTCGGCGGGACGATTTTTTTCAGCCAGCTACGCCACTGCCTACTCGTGCTTTTAAATAGTAGATACAAATTAGTGATTTTGGACAAAATATTTCGAAAACTAAGCAACATTTGGGGAAGCTGTAAAAAAGCTTCCCACATAATTTAAAAGTGCTCTCAAATGAAATAAACTAATTTTATATTTCCATATTCCTTGAACTGAGATGTTAATAGCAGCTCTAAGATTCGCAACTTACCTAAAATGTGTGTCTGTTTTTTGAACATCATCAATACCTGTCATTCTACTGTAAAAACAGGATAAGGTTTATATGAGCGCTTCTTCAATGCATACAATATAATTATCTATGGTAGATTGTTGTTTTGGGGTGATCAGTAAGTTCTAAACGCACGATATATAGGAGACGAACTACGCTGTATACTAATGAAGACGAATTGCTTCGCTAGATGTAGTTTGGAAAGGAGCCATTTACTTTCATTTGCACAATATTCAAAACAACGATGGAAAGATGCCCAATCTCTGAAAAGTTGCTTTAAAAAAATTGCGTCATCCAAAACCAAAATTAGAGTATCAGGTAAACAAACTTTTTGGAGATTGATCTGAAGCCGGAAGTACGTACGCTAGACTTCAGAATTTCCAACAAACAAATGCAGTTAAGCTAGAATTAGAAAACGAGCCGCATGCGTTTATGGTGTATAATAAAGCACGAGGGGAATGTTGGGAGAATACGAAAGACGCTTCTTCTTCCACTTATATTATATTATAGTGTAATATACACTAAAAATTGCGATTGTCTTGCCAAAACGTAATCGAAATTGAGATACTTAACAAAATGTAAAGAAATAACGCTGACCCACATTAATTATGACTTATACACCCAATGCTCCATAATCTAGCTACCTGTATCCCACCGGGCACACGACGTTGTTTCAACGTTGAAATTTGGTAGAAAAAAGGTTGCGACGTCGACAACCTAATATCCACGTTGCTCTGACGTTGTTTTACAAACATTAGTTCAACAGCAGCCAACAGACGTTGAATTCATGGTTAAATGTACGACGTCTTTTTGTGAACCAATCTCAACGTTGTTTTAACGTGGATTCAACGTTGAATTATGGTTGACGAGATTGGCAACCTAATTTCAACGTTATTTCAACGTCGAAACAGTAACGTCGATCCAATTTGCATAGGCAACCCTTTTTCAACGTCTATCCAACGTCTGGAAGGTCATTTCTAACGTTGATTCAACGTTGGATAAACGTCATTTTGCCCGCTGGGATATGCGCAGTTCCGACGACCGAAACTTACATACGAGATCGAATCTGGCATTCAAATTTTTCCTTTTCTTTTGCGTGAATTTGGTCCGCAATGCATGCCCCCTTGTATAATCTCTATGATAGTTACCATTTAACAAAAATATCACTCATTTCATCGCCATAAATATTCTTTTCCTGAGGTTCAACGTCTTTCGTGTTCCACACAATAACACGAAGCTCGTACCTGAAAAATTAAGATATTGAAAAACGTTTTATGTCGGTGGCAAAAATTGTGTGAAGGTTGTTAGAAAATTGGCCGGAAATGTTGCGGTGTATTTGTATAGCTACCTTAAAAACGAAGGACAAATGCATTATCTGTATTGAATGTCAGGATTTTGGGCATACATGCACCTTACATTGACATCATCTTAGTGTCTATATACATGAACATGGGGTTAGAGCTCGGCAACTGGAGTCCGTAGCTCAGTTGGTCAGAGCGCTGTACCGGTATAGCAGGGCTGCAAGTTCAATTCCTGTCAGAGTTGCATTTTTTGCAACTGCTCCTAGTTAGGTCAACACCGCGGAAAAACGTCTGCGCATGCGTCAATATTACTGAAATCTGTATTGCGAACGTGATGTCGAAGAAGTCAAGCAAAATTTCTGCCAACAAAATTCGACTACAGAGAGTTTTAGATTGACGTTCATCATTACTACGGCAAACCGCAAACCGGTAGTCGACGTACCCGTTACAAGTTTGCAGTTCGGATTTTAAAAACGATTTAGATTTAGGCCTAAGGTTTTAACTTCCAAAATGTGAACTTAATCGGTGGGCAATAGCATCCCAATCTATTGGCTTTTGTGTTCGGCAGCTTGCAACCTCCTTGGCCAATGCAAAATCATGTTGTATGCTTGGCCAACGAAAGGGTTTCGTGGTCATGATATTTTTCCAAGTTCTGTATTAGACACAAACATATTTTATATAAAATTCGCAACAAAATTAGCCTAAAAGTAAAACTTTAGATCTCAAAATTATGAGAAAAACAAATAACGACAAAAACAATGTAAATCAGCTATGTATTTGGGCTATGCATTTACCCGCCATTTTTTTCATTGACATCGACTGAATTCGATACAACTATTTCAGTCGAAGATAGTAGTTTTATATCCTTATTTTATGCAAGAAAGAACGTCATAGTGTAATAAACATAAGTGCCATGTTTATACGCGAGAAAAGGAACAAAAATGCATGAAAGCCTTGAGGGAATCTACCTACCTGAAAACAGGCTCCCTCGCGTTGAAACGTCTACTTCGAACGTGTAACCTGACGGGAAGATAGCTGTCACGTGATTTTTAGCCGTTTGCGGTTAGCGGGAAATGCGAAAATACGTCAATCTAAAACTCTCTTATGCCTTCCCGCAAACGTGAAGCTTACACTCCCCATTAGTACCCTACGCCTGGGCAAATTAAAGGTATAGCCCGGCCATTATAAACAGAAGTGTGGAGTTTTCTTGTGCGGAATTTCTTTCACCATTTCGTCGAAATGCACTTACTGTTTAGGTTTACGAGGCGTTATATCAATTGGAGGGCCAGGTTTTCCATACATTTCCGGAAAGATATCAATGAACATCTCTAGTTTTCCCTATGGCAAACACAATGTAGTAACGTTGTAACAAATGCAGCCAATTCAATTAAGGTTGTTCTCTGGGGCCAGTTGTTCTCGGGAAATAGTCAGTTTTGTTTCCCCTCGAATCTCAGTATATATGAAACAAAACATCAAAGAATCTCAGTATAGGGGAAAATAAACCGAATTTTCGCGGGAGCAGACAATATAAGATGGTCTTCCACTCTGAAAACATTTTTTTCAAATTCAAGCTTTTGTCATAAAATTTGAGTCAAATATGATAGATTATGCTCAGCTGACACACGATCAGTAACTTTTACATCCATAGACATAGTATATAGCAAAGATAGGCCTCCCTGTCGCGTGAAATATAGCCAGCAAATTCCTGTCTAGTTTGAACACTTTATGCGGAAGTGATATTTATCTGCTGCTTTAAACTCATCATTTTGTTAAAGATTTCAAGCAAATACTAACACAAACTTTCTCGAAGAACGAACACTGTATCTATATTCAGTCTATATAGCCTAGCAAGGTTTATACTACAGAGCGACTAACATCAACACAGAACTTGCTTTGTGATTACGAAACAAGAATGGCGTGAAATAGGACTTTGTACATACAGGGCTTTGATGAGGAGAGATTTGCGACCACAGTCAATCGAAATTTCCTCTGTTTTACTTTGCTTCAACGTTTTAAGAGAGCCCGTCCTGTGTCCGAGAAACCATCATTGTTTATGCATGCCGTGTTTGTATTACGAAACACCTCGAGAATTCCAGAAGATGCCCTACGGCTATGTGTGCAGACGAACTGACCGTTCGGACTTTGGAAGAACCACCAAGAATGTAAGGCAAACTAAATTACCGAGGATCTTAGAAACAGCTTTAAGGTAATTCCGCATTAATTGTTCCCGAAATGAGAATGTGCTGAAACTTCCCAGGCATGGAGTTTATGATATACTTAAAGTAAAATCACACAAAAAAGTCGGGGTCACCAAACTCGTTAAGAAGATATGACAATCACAATATACCACCTTTACTCCAATATGGCGCCATCTTGACGCTCATTACGAGTAACAGCAAAAATATTGAAAAAATATTGTGTTTTGAGCAAAATGAAACTACTAACGTGTACAATTCTGATCCACAAATGTCTTTTCTACATTTCTTTACATATCTTTCTTTGAGAACATGCATTGATAAGGGATTTTTTTTCAAGATCCAGAAATGATTTTTCTTTTAATTTTTGATATGAAATGTAAAATGCATTAAAGAAATAAATTACCAATTAAAAAACAGGGGCCACCGATCTTTTAGGGAATTGTGGCATTAAAACGTGAAATACAAGTAAATAAAAATACTACAGACACAGGGAACCCTAGCTACACTTTTGTATACCTTTTTGAAAACATTGATTTTAACGTAATTCCTTGCACGAATGTAACCAAAGATGTTTTGAAATAACATAAAATTGTCATAAAATGATTTTTTTTAAACGGTTCGTATAATGAATGAAATTATAATTTATAAGATGTGCGCAGTAAAAGTGCGCAATGCAAAACTGCGGAATTACTTTAATAGACACCTCGTACACAAATCTATGTCCGGAACCAATTTCGCCCAACGTTCATTTGAGAAAAGAATTTTTTGCACATATTAGAATGACTGATACAGAACATAGAACAATATAATTGAAAAGTCGAACAATAGAATAAACCAATTCGGCATGTATGCATTTATTTGCTCCTGGTAAAATCATGGTTATACCTAAGAAGGGTAGATTTCTCGGGTTAGGGTACATTCTTGTGTGTGTTTTTCTATTTTGTATTTCTTGTTTTTCTAAATGTGCTAAAATAGTGGAAATTTGCGTTGGAACGAGCCTACTATCCTCCTGTCTGAATCGAACAAGCTTAGTCAACAAGCACTACACATATAAGAGGAGACAATATCGATTTGGAGGATTCGTGTACCTGCGAAAAACCAGGAAATAGTTTGTTCGTCAAATCCCGTGTCTCGACATGTTCTGGAACCATTTTATGATCGCCCTAAAAACAATATTTTTAAAATTCAGTCAACACCTTCTTTTGCACTTTGCATCAGCACATAAATTTTACAACACGAAGCAACACTGAATTTAATAGCTGGTCAAAAAACCTTCAAACCAGACCAACCATGCTTGATGCAAAAAAATGTCAAGTCAAAAACCATCACGTCTAATATTTAACAATTATTCGCCGAAGGCGAGGTGATTATCGGGGAATATTCGCTGAGACGAAGTCGAGGTGAATATTCCCCGATGATCACCGAGCCTGAGCCTGAGGCGAACAATTGTTTTAGTATTTTTACAAAAGCTTTTGTGTTTTTTGAGACTGAATTTATTTTAATTTCGCTTTTTAAACTTCCACAAAACGGTTAGCCGCCATTTTGCAAATTTCTATTTTGTTATATTCACCTGTATATTCTGTTTATTATATGGACTTATTCAGAGTGACAAAAATACAGACAAAGACGACATGTAAATAAGCACGCGAAAGACCAGTGTAAAAGCGATATATTTTTTAAAATTATAGTGCAAACATAAAACTAGAATAAATTTTACTTATCTCAAGATGTCCTTTAAATGTTTTCGTTTTATTTACAACGTTAATATCGTTTTAAATACGAACCAAAGACCAGTTGTATTTTCAAAACAACAACAATAAAAATGGCGGGAAATTTTCGAACTTCGTCTGTCACTAGGAGGGGTGAAATACGGAAAATACACGCACCTGGTCCCGGATGTAGTGACGTATGAGTTCTACGAGTGTTTTAGTTTCCAGTGAAACACCATTGTCCATATAATAAATCATTGTAAGCTAGCTTAAAGTGCATATGACATGAAAAATTTTTATTTTCTTAAATGAAAGAACTCTTTAAGTTGTAGTGTGTAACTTATTTTTCAGTTTCTTGTTTTTATGGTTTGTTCACGAGATATTTCAATTTTTTGATATGTAAATGAGTGTGAATATGTCCGCTAATTTACGACGTCATGTTGGTTGCGAGCTCAACTTAAACTGGTTTTAAATGTATTAACTCTAAAAACTGTTGATATCAGTTTACGTTTTTCTCCAGTGTTTCATCACATTTACCAGTGAGTGAAGTCTGAAATTATCATCTTGGATGATAGCAGTGATATTCAACCATTATTTTGAAGAGCTTGCAACCAACATGACATCATAAATTAGCAGACATATTCACACTCATTTACATATCAAACAAATTGAAATATTTCGGGAACAAACCATAAAAACAAGAAACTGAAAAATAAGTTACACTACAATTTCAAGAGTTCTTTCATTTAAGAAAATAAAAAATTTCATGTCATATACACTTTAATGCAGGGTATAGCGCACGTAAAAAAATATAATTAATAAAAAGCAATTAAGAAAATAAAAAATTTCATGTCGTACCTTGAGATGATTCAGAACATGCAATGAAAGACGCTCCTTATTCCCTCCGGCGTGTGTCAGGTCGGTTTCTGAGTTCTCTAAAACAAAATGGAGTGTTTAAGCCTAGTTCTCATTCATCGAAAACCGTCGGCGATGGGAGCTTTGCGACGTCGGCGACCGCTTGCCATTTATGAGAACACATCAAAAATTATATCGCCGATTGTCCGTAATCGTCGCCGACCATCGGCGATGACATCGCAGGAAACAAAAATGTTTGTTTCTTGTGAGCATCGCCGACTGCCACCTGCTTGAAAAACCTATGAGAAATGAGTAAAAGTTGTTTTTTCCTCAACAAGCAAGGAAATAATCAACTGAAGTTTGACAAAAATCATGAATTTTACGTTGAATGGGGCCATTTTGTGCCTTGGTGGGAAACTTCGAAACACATCGGCTGTCACCTGCAACGATCACCGATGTATGAGAACTTTCGTGCATTCGCGCTCGGCGAGTATCGGCGATAAGCGTCGCCGATCGTCGGTGACAGTTTGCGATGAATGAGAACTAGGCTTTAGGCGCAAAAAGCAATACCTGTATGGTTGGGGTTCCCGACCGACCCTATTTTTTTCTGCCGACCCTATTATTTTTTCAACGCGATTGACCGTGCGACCCTATTTTCTCCAGGTGGTTGCAGGCTGCTCATACAGTGTGTCACTAAAATGGCGTCTGTTGTCACACTAATTATTGAACCAAATTGCCTAAATTCGTCCATAGGAAATACGCATCTCTAGTTAACATTGATGTCAGGACTCTATTGCAAATCGCCCAGCAAAAACCCGCCAAAACCATGAAAAAAATTTTAAAAAAATCATTTCCGACCTACCGACCCTAATTTTTTCACGATATGAAACCGGAACCACAGGTATTTTTTTACGCCTGAATAGCGAAGGCAAGAAGACAGAAATTGACGTCGAATAAAAAGTCGTAAACAGTTTCAATACCATTTTTCCCCAGCTAATAATTTTACGGATTATCATTTGTAGGATTTAATTTATATTTTAGGCGTAACAAGTGCAATATGTTTACAGCCGGTGCAAGAAACGTATTCAAGGTGTTCAACTGTATCATTTACGCTCGGAAAGAAGTTCTTTAAGTTAAAATTTAATCTATAGTAATGTGTTTCAGCTCAACTCTGTTTTTACTCTTTGAATATTTAAGTTGTTTATGTGTATCGCTGGAAAGCGTATAAATACATTGTGAACTTTTGTTCGTATATTGAGGTTCGCAAGCATTTAAAAACCATCAATATTTTCCTCATTTTCATAATATTTTATAACGAGCGCATTTTAAAATCTTTGAAAAGCTCATATATATATAGGTGTACGTTTTTCTAAATTGCCACCTAGATATTATTAAAAAAAAATACTTGGCGAAAACAAACTCACCAAAGTCTGAAATTCTAAAGTGACGTTTATCAAATTCGCTACGTATTAGAGTTACTTTCTTTCCTCGGTTTTCTTCAGGAAAATTTGGCTCAATGTCAAATACTTCGCAGTATTTGTTTAAGATTTTCGACGGAGTGTATTTACTACCAAAACGCCATCGGTCGGTGCCCGATCTGAAAGAGAAAAAAATATTTGTTAAATTCATCGATTCTTGTCGTATGAAACGTGCTGTTTCAAACACAATGAAAAATCATAAGCGTGTCGTATCTTTATCATGTGTTAAAAAATTCATTAATAATTCACGAGGAAAATACAAAAGAAATGAATGTTTAATCAATGTTTGTCAATCGGATAAAGATTTGTCCCGATTTACATCAACTTCAGCTTTGATTTTCTCGGCATAAACAATGTTTATTTTTAAAATTACTTTGCCAATGAATTGATAAGATGCGTAATTTTTTAAGTACTTCGGCTCGAGTTTGTATATCAGATACAGATCGGCTGCGAATGTTTTATCTAGTACATACTGTAGACTGATCTCCCTTGATTTACATAAACTTTAGCTTTGATTTTTTCGACTTACACAACGTGTTTTTTGAAAATTACTGCGTCAATGAACTTACTAGATCGATAGTTTTTGAAGCAATTTAATGCATTAGCAGTACGTATTTTATCAGACCTAAAGATACTCGGCTTTGCCTCGGCGAAAGCCGTCAGTCACTTTCATACTTGAACTAGTTACTGAAATATGATTTTGGGCTCATAATAACCAATTGCTCTCCGGATACATGCTTGCACGACCCTACTTATGACGTAACATGCATATCCGCCAAAATCCAAGATGGCGGAATGCTCGGTGATTTGTGATTTTTTCTGTCAAAATATCTCAAGAAATAATAAAGTTACGCAAAATCGGTAAAGGAGATTTACGTACTGTTTAATAAACGAGCAGGAGTGTTTTATTATGTTTAAATTCACGAGCGCGCAGCACGAAT